ATTTAGCATAATCCCTATCAAAATCCCCACAGTGTTCTTCATGGGAATTGGCAAGGTGATTCTAAAATGTATCGTGAAAAGTCTGGGAAAAGAACAGAGTTTGAGCATCCACATTTTATAAAGAAAGACGAACTCAGGCTGTCATTGAGAGCACGGCCCTTCCCATCGCTTCTTCAGGGTCCGACCTCAGTTCTCGGGTTCCTGACCTCACATGGGTTGTAGGGATCAAACTCAAAAACTCACGGCCACTGAGTCCATTCCAAGTCTTAGTGACCTTAGAGGACACAGTAGGATGGCCCCTTTGGGTACGTGTGCAGATGTCTCTCTCCCACGCATCGGGGGGGTGGGTTTAAAGTGCTGACCTGGTGGCTAGCAGCCCACAGCACCCCCACCATAAGGAGACACCTGGCGGGGGTGCGCTCCAGAGAAAAGGAAGAGAGCATCTCCTTCAGGATTTACTGGCTGTGGTTGGAAGCTGCCCACTCCAGCAGAGGCAGCAGCTCTGGGCATTTGTCAGCAATACTGTCATGGCAAAGTAAGAGGCTCCTAGAGTGGTGCCCAAGAGAAAGCACGTCTCATCCTGCCAGAATGATAGCCCCACCATTTATCTCCTTGTGCTTGAGATGCACAGCATCACTCTTCTACTCTCCCACGGAGCCGAAGATGAGAGGGGAAAGCGTGCTAATAAATATGCACACAAAGGAAAAGATCTAGACCCCACCTTTGCCCGGCTGTAACCTCTGTCTGGAATGCTCTTTCCCCAGAAACCTCATAGCTCATTCTCTCACCTTCTAGTCTGCTCCAGCAACACTCACCAAGGTCTACCCTGACCAACCTATTTAGAATTACACCCCCTTCAGCAGCCCAGATACCCCCAACCTCTCCAAACCACTTCTCATAATTTATATCATGTACGTATCAGACTATGGTTTAGCGTGTCTTTATCAAACAAGGGCATTAGCTTTGCGAGACCATGGGTCTTGGTCTAGATTCATCATGCACTAATATAATAAACAAACGAAATGATACAGCTATACGGTAGGATGACTTACAGTAAAGAGTGCCTGAAGATTATTGAGCTTCTCTATTTCCTTGGGCATCCCGTTACTGCCCCAACGAATCAGGTAGTTCTCGCTGGTGAAGAAAAAAAATATGTACACATTCTTCATAAGAGGATTGGGAATTCCACTACCCGTCAGTCAGTCTGTCTGTCATACTGTGGTAACTCGCACCCTGCTGTGATGCTGGAAGCTATGCCACTGGAATTTCGTATGTCCAGTAGAGCTAGATGAAGAACAAACTAGGGAAAAGGAAGAGCCTGTCCACTTCTGAGGGATTCACCACTGACATCATAAGAACAGCAGCGGAACACTGTGTGACATCGAGCTGGAAGATGAGCCTCTCAGGTGGGAAGGACACAGAGACTGCCAACGATTGCTGCAGCCACCAAACCGTGAAGGTGGCGTAGAACTGGGCATGCTTTGTTCTGCTGTACACAGGGGTAGGGGGCTGGGAATCAACTCAAAAACACATGCCAGCAACAACACCTGGGGATGCTGCGACCTTCTGCACAGGCTGAAAAGTGATGCCCAGAAGGACCTGGTTCACATCCACAGCCAGATGTGAAGGCAGCAGTGGCAGGAACTGAGCTTCTGGACATGGCCACGCCCACGCGCCGGTCTCCTGATTTGCAGAAGGAGCGCTGCAGCCCAGGTCTGCGGGGCGCACTCAGTCTGGGTCCACTAGGCCTGCGGCATAGGCAAAGGAAGCCTAACCGGATTCTCCTCTCTGGGGTCATTTTTTTTTATGTCTCAAATCCTTTTGGGAAAAGATTCCACTTGGCTAAATCAAGAATTCAGTTTTAGAAAAACCGTTTGGTGATGCAGGGATTGTAATCCTCAGCATATACCCAGAAGAGGCGAGAGCAGAGCTGGAAACACAACCCCGGATGGCGGCGCTCACGGCAGCACTGTTCCCAACAGCCCAAAGGGGCTGCAGGGTGGCACCAGGCAACGCTGACGGTCACAGGTGGGCTCATTATCTTGATTAGGTCATGCTTTCATGGGCTGTCCTCAGGTCAGAACCTACCATATGCTTTACATAGGTGCTGTTTATTGTATGGCGATTACACCTCAATACAATGGCTCAAAAAGGTTCTTAAAAAATTAACCTTATCATCATGCCAAACCGATTTCCTGAAATGCAGGTACTGTGGGGGGAGCGGGGAGGGAGGGGAAAAATGAGGACCTAATGTCGGGGGTTTAAGTGGAGAGAAAATGTTTTGAGAAACGAGGTACAAATGCGCTTTACACAATTGATGTGTGTGTGGATTGGGATGACAGTTGTATGAGCCCCTAATAAAATGTTAAAAAAAAAATGCAGGTACTGTTATAAAAATATATATCTTTTTTAATTTTGGAAAGAATTTTTCAGTAATTACACTAAAACCACTTCTCAAAAATAAATGGAGGGTTTTTATTAGGGGTCTGCCAGCAACATTACTCCAGGGCTGAGCAAAGCTCACTGCTGTACCTTACAGAGCTCTGCACAGCATCCACGGCTGCTGTGCTCTACCTACCTGAAGGCAAGCCAGCCGGACCCACCCAGCGGTCCCCCGTAATAAAGTCTTGGCAATTGCCTCCAGAAAGATGAAAAAACCCGAAGTCCGCTGCCATGGACTGATTCTGACTCAGTGATGCTGCAGGGCAGGGTACACCTGCCGCTTTCGTTTTACTGAGTCTGCAAATCTTTACAGGAGCAGAAAGCCTCCTGGGTTTGAACTGTGGAACTTGAGGTTAGCCACACAACACACAATCTACTATCCCACCAGGGAACCTATAAAGAAAGATCAGAGGCGAGACTGTTCTGTGGAATACAATTCTACTCTGTGGAAGACGCACGGGCTCACCAGGCATCAGAATCGACTTGATGTCAATGGGTTCGGTTGTTCTGTTCCTGATAATGCAGCTGGGCTACCACACTTGCAGGTGCCTTACAAGGAAGCCCTGGTGGCTCCTCTAGAAAACTAGTCCCTGCAAAGCCTAGAGACACAGTTCGACTCTGGCAGGCGACTGACGGTCAGTGTGAGTGGGCAACTGGTAGTCTTTAAAATCCGTTGTCCCTGTTGCCATGTTCTGCTGGGATTTATGTGACTTCTACGTCTCATTCAGTGCACACACTGTGGCTGAAGACATACCTAAACAGCTAAATTCCAAAAAGACTGTATACTTTCTACTGCCGAGAAGTTCTCCCCTTCTCAAATGTAGCAAAAACTGACTCAAGAGGGAGGTGAGTCAAGAGCGGGGAGCTTTGTAGAGTCAACCGCCGATGCTCTGGGCACACACTACCTGATGAAAGTGGACCGATCCGGGTCGTAGAGGGCCATGAACAGCTCTGCGTCTTCCCCAATGTTGCAGACAAAGTTCTTGAAGTTCACATAGAGGCCATAGGTGTGGACTGTGCTGAAGATGGCCTGGCCCCGCAAGTCCAGGTTCTGCAAAGTCGACTGAACACAGAGGACACGAGAGAAAAGCACCGTGGTTTCAGCCAACAGAGGGGCAATGCTAGCAAAGAAACAGCCTGCAAATGGGGGGCAAACACCATTACCAGCAAGAGGAGGCGCGCGCCTGAAAGGAAACTGCGTCTAAGTGGGCAAATAATTGAGAAGCAAAATACAATCACTGCTACTCAGATGCTCAGGACTATCCTGTTAAGGGTCTTGAGTCCAAGTAATTCAATAGATGCTGCCTGATGCTAGTAATGCAGGGTTTCAGTAGCTTCTGGGAGGGCTCACTCACAGGGAGACACAGATCTAGCATACAAATTGTGATTTGGGATCCCTCTCTACAGGAAGAAGTCTAATTGGAAACGAGAGATTCCACCAGAAAGGTTCACCCTCAAACCTCAGGCACAGTTTGCCATTACAATCAGAAATACAATTAAATAGTGTCACAAACAATAACACGCAGAAATCTTTCATCTTCTACAACAGAAGATCTTAGGAAACAGCAAAGTGACAATATGGTTGGTCCGGGCAGTATGTGTGAGTTTTGGTACCCTTCCAATGTTACTTAAGGTCCAACTATCACATTCAAAATATCTCAGGCACTGGTTTGCAAACTATTGTGCACTCTGGAAATCACATGCAGGCTCCAAACAGAGAAGCGGCAGAAGGGTCCCGCCGACGCGGCTCTCCTTGGCAGAGGCCTCTGTGATGACCACTCCTATCTAGCGATCCTTGGTCCATCTCTGAATGTGCGGTTACAGATGAACGCATCTTCTTTTAGTAAAACAAGGCAGTCTCGTATACGTTGTTCTGCCTCTCACTCTCGTTGCACCTAAGCTTTGCAACCTTTCCGCATCACAACAGGTGCAGCAAAACATTCTCTTCGTGGTTTTTCTTTTGCAAGGAGGATCAACTAAAAAGGCAAATCGACTGCCACGAGTTGAACCTTATCTATGTAGTTGCCCAGGCTGTAAATCTTTATGGGAAGAGACAGCATCACCTCTCTTCTGAAGAGAGGCTAGTGGGTTTCCACTGCCGACCTTTACCAAAGTTCAGGCCACAGCCCAACAGGGCTCTTTATCCTGAGGATAACGAAATCAATAACGAACTCCCTGCCATGAGTCCACCCCGACTCATCGAGACCCTATGGGGCAGCGTATAAAGGTCCCTGTGGGTTTCCGAGACTGACTCTTTCCTGGAGTAGAGAACCTGGTCTTTCCTCCGCGGAGCGGCTGCTGGCTTCAAACTGCTGATGTTGCAGTTCCCAGCCCAACGCTTATCCCACAGTGCCACCAGGGCTCCTTCAAATTGAGGCGGAGAGAGTTCATTTTCTAAAGACCTATTCTGTCTCTTATTAAGGAATCGCTCTCTCTCGCTCATTAAAACCCAAAGCAAAAGACAAAAAGCACAGACACCCGCAACCTGCACAGACATTCGAGGACACGTACCTTTTCTTCTTGGATCTTCTCTTCAATCCTCTTGGAGGCCAGCTCGTGGGCTCTGAAGAGGGCGACCGTGCTGCTCTCGTCGGGGTCCAAGATGTTCCCATTGTGGTCCCGCACCACCAGATCGAGCCCCAGCATTCTAGAAGGCCGGCACGGGCTGGTCAGTAGTTCTTCCCCCGACGGGCACACCCTGCCTACTGAGAGCCCAGCTCCTGACTGAATGGTGTTCCCCGACCATTCACGTCAAATTCCTGCCTCTCAAAAGCAGAGCCTTCCACATGAACATTTACCGTTGGTTTAGATGGGAAATGTGTTTGAGCATTCCCTAAATGAAAAAATAATCTACCACATCCTATCAGGTAACACATGAAACTTTAACGCCAACACATAGTGCTCACAGACCCAGCTGGATGGGAACACGCTGAGTGCAGTCCCAGGGCAGGGAGGTGGGAGGCGCCCTTGTGCCCACTCTGGTGCTCACTGCATTTTAATGGCTTCCTTGCTGCAAACCAAACGCTGGACAGGACTCCCTTTCAACTTTTTCGGAAAGGGTGAAAATTCTGCAGGTTTCTTTGGGTGAGCAAAACCTGGTTCTGATATAGTTCTTTTGTAAAACTGAAATGGTGTAGGGCAATTTGGGGGGAAGCCAGAGATACTTTTAAGTAGGCAGTTTTGTTATGCTAATGAGGCCATCCCAGAAGAGGGTGGATACTAAATGGAATCACTTCTAAGATATAAAAAGAACAGAACAGATTCGAAGAGACTTAAAGGGAATGACCTCCCACGAGAGTCCTCCCTGTATTCAGACTTCTAACCTCCAGAAAGTGCAGTTTTTGTTCCTTGAAGTTTTCTTGAAGCCAAACAATAGTAGGGACCAACTATGGAAAAAGTCTGCCTGTGCATCCTGCTCTTTTAAGAACTATGTACAGGGGATCGAATGGACAAAGCAATTTGACTAGATGTGAGCCTTAGGAGGCAGTGAAGGGGAGGGCAGCAACACAGAAGATGGGGGAGTAAATGGTGGAACTTGAAGCAGTTATCAAGGGCACTGAATGCAACATTCACAAACTGAATTAGTGTATGCTCCACTGTATCTATTCTCAATGACAAAGTGAATAAAGTTGTATGTCTCATTTGTCTTTAAAGAACAGTTTTTTCTTTTAT